CTGCCTTCGGCTCGGGTCATGATCCCGGGGTCCTGGGATCGAGCCCCACATCGGGCTCCCTGCTCTGCGGGAAGCCTGCTTCTCCCTCTCTCACTCCCCCTGCTTGTGTTCCCTCTCTCGCTGTCTCTCTCTATTAAATAAATAAATAAAATCTTTAAAAAAAAAAAAAAAAGAACTTTATTCTATAATCATAGAGTTGAATGGGGCATCAGACATTGGATCCTATCTCCTCACCCCTGGTACTATGTCAAAAATGAGTGAGGACTTCTAGGGTAAAGCTTTCGAAGATTCTGGGTAAATTACCAAAAATAATAATTATAAAAGAGACAAACACAGGTAGTGGTATTCAACTTGTAAACAAAAACAAGGAATCTCTTTCACTTATATGTGAGGTACCTAATGTGGTCAACTTCATAGCGATAGAAAGCAGTTTGGTGTGAACGCCTGGGTGGCTCAGTCGGTTAAGGTTCCAACTCCTGATCTCAGCTCAGGTCTTGATCTCAGGGTCATGAGTTCAAGCCCTGCATTGGACTCCACGCTGAGTGTGGAACCTACTCAAAAAAAGAGAGAGAAAGAAAAAGAAAGCAGTATGGCGTTGCAAGAGGCTGAGCAGAATGGGGAACAGGGAGTTACTGTTTAATTGGTACAAAGTTTCAGTTTTGCAAAATCAAAAGGAAAGAGTTCTGGAGGTGGATGGTGGTGATGGTTGCACAATGTGAATGTACTTAATGCCACTGAACTGGACACTTACACTTACAATGGTTAGATGGTAAATTTTACGTTATGTGTATTTTGCCAGTTTCTTAAATTGAGGAGAGAAAAAAAGATCTCTCTATCTGCTAGTTTTCATTTGGGGACCAGCATGGCCTAGGAGCTGGCAACTAAGACTCTGGAGTCCTGAGTTCCTCCCTCTGTTCTGCATTTATCATCTGGAGGCCTTTGGGCAAGTCATCTGACATCTCTGAGACTCTCTCTTCATCTATAAAAATGGGAATAATAGCCTCCGATCTCAGAGGCCTATGAGGACAACAAAATAAAGTAACAGAATCTCACAGCACAAGAATAATCACATGCTAAATTATTATTATGCGTTTAAATAATAAATTAGTTTATTACTTAATGTTACTTAAAAGTCAGTAATGATCAAATAATTAAATTATTAATATTATATTATCAGCTTTTCGCTAGGCGCATCAGAAGACTTCGTTTTAACGGGAAAAGAAGCCCAAGTTAGGAGTCAGAAGACCTGGGCTTCGAATGGCTGTGCCCGTGAGATTTCTCTCTGGTGACACGGAGGAATTGACTGAGATGATCTCTTAGATTATCAAAGAGCAAGATCAGCTTTGCTGCTCGGCGGGAGCCAGCCCTGGAACTGCACCTCCCTCACCGCCTAAGCTTCTCGGGGAACCCGGTCGAGGAAAGGGGTCCAAAGGTCATGCGCAAGAAGGCTGATTGCAAATCCCCTTCCTAAACCTGAGGAGTCGGCATGGTGCAAGCTTGTACAAGACACCCACGAATCGGGAGCAAGCGTCCCGTATCTTTGCTCTTCCCCTGCCAAGTCTGTCCCAGCCCGCTGGGGGAGCTACAAGGAACCTGCCAGCTTCCCAGACCCTGCAGAGACCCCAAGAAAAGGCAACCCCAAAACAGCCGGGGCTGCAGAATTATAAATACTCTTTGCACATGCGCATTGCAATTTACGAGTGGCCGCGGGGCACAACGCGCGCCCACTGCGCCTGCGCGTCCGGGCAACCTTTGGGGCACAGGAGCAGAAAGGTGGGTCCCGTGGTCCCGCGAAGAAAAACGAACGAGTCTGCGGCGGCAGCTCAGTGCGGGTTTTCTCGTTCCTTACCTCATAATGCTTCATGGTTCCCTCAAACGGCCCCTACTGCGCTCCTGCCGCTGTCTACGGGCGCGCGACCAGGAACAGAACTCCTCACGCGCTGGCGACGGCCGCGCGAGACTAACCTCGCTTCCGCTTCGGCCCCGCCCCTCCCTGCCGCGCGCGCCCCTACAGCCAATCAGCGCGCGGGGCGCTCACCTCCGACCCCGCCCCGCGAGGCTGGTCTTGAGCAAGGACTAGCCGCTCTCGCCATGGGGCTGGCCAATCAGCTTGCGGAACACACCGAGGGGGAGGAGCGCAGGCCCGACGGGACTCGCAGAAAAGTGCTTGGCCACCCACCAATCAAAATGAGGCCTCGGAGCCGCGCGCCCCTTCCCCGCCCCTTGGTGGCGTCGCTGTGGAAACCAAGGGAAGCGACGGTTACCTTACAGCTGGGGGCGGGAGCAAAAAGTTGAGTGACAGGGAGGGCAGCATCCGCATGGCGGGAGGCGCGACTGTGTGAATTCCCAGGTGGGCAGCCCCCTGGGTAATGGGGAGCAACCTGAAAGGGCTAGGTGCTGGGGGCGTGTGCTGGGAAGCCTGGATGGAGAGGCCTTCCGTCGCGGGGACCCTCATCTGTCATGAATGGGAGGGAAAGAAAGGGGAAATGACGAAAAGCCCTCGGGGAATCCCCCAGCTTACAACCTGAGTCCTGGCCCCATTCTGGGGGTGCAAGCCCCGCCCCGTAGGCCGGGAGCGGACACTTGTCTACCTGTGCTGTCTAGTATGGTCATCACTGACCAGAGGTGGCTAGTGAGCCCTTGAAATGTGGCTGGTGCAAATTGAGATGTGCTGTAAATGTAAAACACGCACCGATTTCTAAGACTTCGTATGAAAAGGAGACTGTAAAAAAAAAATCTCATTAATAACCTTTTATGTTAATTATAAGTTGAAATGATAATATTTTAGATATATTGGATCAACACAGATTATTACAATTAAGTTCCCCTGTTTCTTTTTACTTTTTTAAATGCCTGTTAGAACATTTAAAATCAGGTTGCCTGGGTGGCTCAGTCGGTTAAGCATCTTCCTTGAGCTCAGGTCATGATCTTGAGGTCCTGGAATCGAGCCCCATCTGCTTCTCCCTCTCCCTCTGTGCCCTCTTCCTCTATCTCTCACATAAATAAATAAAATCTTAAAAAAAAAATTTTTAAATCACAGAACTGGCTTGCATTTGTGGTTGGCAGTTATGCTTTACTGGACACTGCTGGTCTGGGGTCATGCCATGCTTTTGCTCCTTTGATTATTTGTCATGAGCAGGCTGGGGAAGTTGGATGCCAACACACACACACACACACACACACACAGCCTCCTGCACACACTCAAGATTTCAGGACAAGGTAAGTAGCACCTGGCACCCTCCCTCACCTTCTTTCCTTTCTCATTCCAGACCCTGCCCCTGAGCCTTCATCAACTGTGGAACCCTCTGGAACTTAGAGGCTGGACATCAGAGACGTGGTGAGAAGTCCTCAAAGGTAAATCACTGATTCACAGAGGAGCAGGGTGGGGCAAGGTGAGTCAGTGCTTAGCACTTAGTCATCCAGGTTCAGTTCTGGAAACCTCTAAAGCTACAACTTTTGGGGACCTGTGGCTGTGGTCTTCAGAAAGTCACTATCTTTTTCACCAGGCCTAGCTGGGCAAAAGAGATGAAAACATGAAAGTGTTTTATAATTGTGCTTCAAAACACAGATCTTGGGGCGCCTGGGTGGCTCAGTTGGTTAAGCGACTGACTTCGGCTCAGGTCATGATCCCAGGGTCCTGGGATCGAGCCCCGCATCGGGCTCCCTGCTCAGCCTGCTTCTCCCTTTCCCTCTACCTGCCGCTCTGCCTACTTATGCTATCTCTCTGTCAAATGAATAAATTTTTTTAAAAATTTTTTTCTGTTGGCAGTTATAGGGTTGAGATCCTTTGTGTCCTGACAGGCTTCACTCCCTGCCCTCATTGAGGGGGACAGGAGGAGTAATCACTTAGAAACCAAAAGTTAAAATCTTACCAGTTGACTTACTTGAGGCATCTAATTGTGTAGCGCTGAGGCGCACAGTTGAACCCCTAAAGTTCAGCCAAGTTTTGCTACTTTGCCCTGTCAATTTCCAGCTTCTCTAATGGGGGCTGGGTTGGTGTGTATTCTGTATTGCTGCATCCCAACTAGGTAAGGTGTGCGGGGTCCAAACAGATGTCTTTTGGGGCAGAGTCCACATACATTCCTACAGACTCAGAACATTCTGGAATTTACCCTTCAAGACTGTTTTCCTGAGCCCCACGCTCACTCACTAGGTACCAAATCATTTTGTGAACCTACTCTGCTGTGCGCCGACAAGGGCATACAAATAATTTCCACCCTCTCCTCACCCACAAGAAGCTCATAGAAAGGCAGGATCCAGCTTAGAAAGGACAATTCCTCTTTGTTTTTGACAGATATTGCAGGTGCAAGGACTCCTTATTGGCCTCATCTGGCTTCCAGTAACCAGGCTGTCAGCAGAAATAATATCCACCTTCAGAATGAAGACTGGCCACTTTGTTCAAACCATTCTTGAGTCTGGCTCCTTTCACTAACATAATGCACTATGCCTGTCAGTTAGGGACAGCTAGACCCTGCTTGTGTCCTCAGCACCCCCAGCACAGTGGCTAATTCATAACAGTCACAACTAGTTTGCTGAGCCAACTGTAATAAGCCCCTTACAGCAATTTCCAAAGGGGAAATTCCAGAAAGGTCTGGTGCTGTGGCAGTGCCGAAGGATAAGCAGGGGGCTCCTTGGATCTCAGATTTGGGGGAACCCATGGTCATTTGAATGTTGAAGTTCTGGTGTGTCTGTCTCACAAGCGCCTTTTGTATTTCCCAGGTGCAGGTAAGGTAGGATCTTGATTTCTCTGGGAACCTGGCTTGGCTTGTTTTGGGGTATGTGATGGAGCTGGTTCAAGCTGTGTGAGAGAAGGTGAAGCCTAGAGTGGACAAGCCAGGGCTGGTTAGCAACTTTCCACTGTGTCAGGAACCCCAGAGAGAGGCTAACCAAGTCCTACCCTGTCTTGCCTTTTTTATTTGTTTTTAAGTCCATAGAATTTTCTTTTTATTGAGCTATAATTTACATACAGTAAAATTTACCTTTTTTAGTGTACAGCTCTGAATATATACAGTTGTGTAACTAACATCACAGTTCAGATATGGAACATTTCCACCATCCCCCCAAATTCTCCTGTCTCCCTTTGTAGCACATCCCAGCCCAGGGCAACCAGTGATGTGCTTTCTGCCTAAATACTTTTACCTTTTCCAGAATGCCTTATAAAATGGAATCACAAGAGTAGGACTCAGACAGCCTTTTGAGTCTGGCTCCTTTCACTAACATAATGCATTTGAGTTTCATCTGCATTGTTTTCTGTACCAGTAGCTCAGTCCTTTCTTATGGCTGAATATATTCCATCATGTGGCTAGACCACAGTTTGTTTATCCATTCTCCCACTGAAGAACATTTAGGTTTTAATGACTGTTGATAATTACAAATCAAGCTTTGATAAACATCGCTCATGGGCTTTTATGTGAACATAGGTTTTTTTGGTTGTTTTTTTTTTTTTTGAGTCACTGTCTTTTTTTTTTTATTTTATTTTATTATGTTAATCACCATACATTACATCATTAGTTTTTGATATAGTGTTCCATGATTCATTGTTTGCATATAACACCCAGT